CCCAGTGATTCTGATCAAGAAAGCCTTCGACAATACTTGTGAATACTTGGGGTCTCTCTTAGTGATGATGGTGCTGCAAACACTGGGCATATACACAGGCATGAGCTGAGCAGCAAGGGCATGCTTGGGCCCAGCTGGCGTTGGGGCCAGTCCCAGCCTCCCAAGGCCCAGGTGCCCCAATCCGGACTGGTGTGCCTTGGTTCCTGTGCGGCGGAGGGGACCCTTCCTCCAGCCTTGTCCCCCTCCTCGCCCACCCACCCCGGCCGCGGACTCCATTTCCCAGGCACCCTCCCGGCCCTAATGTATTCCGTCCTGGGGCCGGCTTGATGCCTCTGTGAGTGTGTGAGCGCGCGTGTGGGTGTGAGTGTGTGGATGCGAGGCGAGCGGGGCTGGGAGTCCCTGGGCGAGCGGCGCGGCGCATTGGCTGATTCGCGGCAGCTCCGAGCGGCAGCGCTGTGCCTCGCTTGGCTCCCGGCAGCCGCGTCAAGCTCTCTCTCTCTGTCTCTCTCTCTCTCTCCCTCCCTCCCTCCTTCTTTCCTTCCTTCCTTCTTTCTTTCCATGCTGGCCCAAAGCGCTCGCCCACACGCGCCGGGGTCAGCCACGTCCGGCTCTTTCTCCTCTCTCTCTGTCTCTGCTCCAAGGGGGACGCCCGAGCCCAGCCATTGCCACGGTGAGTGAGTCCCTCGGAGGAAGGCACGGGGGGGGGGGGGGAGGGTGCCTGGGGAAGCCTCTCCTGCGGAGCCCCTCCTGAACTTTCCCGTCCTTCCTTCCTTCTTTCCTTCCCGCGTCCCGCTATTTCCAAACTCCTTTCCGGACGCGGACAGGCGAGGGAGGCAAAACTTTTGCCAGGCAAGTTCGCCTCTTCCTCCTCCTCCTCTTTCTTCCCTCCCTGGAAAGTTGGACGGGCGGCGGAGGCTTCTCTTGTTGGGCAGGATCGGCAGGGCGTGAAATGGGTCTATACACTGACTACATAACGCGGGCTCAAACCGCATTACACGGCGGTGTAGATCCAACTTCGGGTTCGGGTAGAAGTATATTTAGTTGTGTCAAAAAAGGTGATGCATTTTGGATCAATAGGGTGCCTCCTCCTTCCCCTCGAAGGATGCGCTCTGATCCCAGGATTCTCTCTCGCTCTCTTTCTTCTCCTACTTCCTCTTCTCTTTCTCCATTCTCCTTCTCCTCCTTCTTCACTTTCTTCTTCTTCCCCTTCTTCCTTCCTCTGCATCATCTATGTTCTCTTCTTCTTCTTCCTCCTCCTCCTCTTTCTTCTTCCTCTTCCTTTTCTCTTTCCGCCTTCTCTTCTTCTCTTATTCTTCCTCCTTCTCTTTCTTCTTCTCCTTCTTCTTTCCTCTGCATCTCCGCTTTCTTCCTCTTCCTCCTCCTCCTTCTCTTTCTTCTTCTTCCCCTTCTTCCTTCCTCTGCATCTTCTTTCTTCCTCTTCCTCCTCCTTCTCTTTCTTCTTCTTCCCCTTCTTCCTTCCTCTGCATCTTCTCTTCCTCCTCCTCCTCTTTCTTCTTCTTCCCCTTCTTCCTTCTTCTGCATCTTCTTTCTTGCTCTTCCTCCTCCTCCTTCTCTTTCTTCTTTTTCCTCCTCCTCGTCTCTACTTCCTCTTTTTCGCCTCCTTCTCCTCTTCTCCTCGTTTCTTCTTCTTCTCTTTCTTCCTCCTCCTCTTCTTCCCCTTCACTTTCTTCTCCTCTTTCTGTCGCTTTCAAATTGAAAATTTGGGCATGGGGTGGTGTTAGGTTACCGGGGGAAGTAACTTTGCAAAAAAATACCACCCACCCGGCCACCCCCAAATGTGGGCTCTCCCGTTCTTTTCTTGGGCGACAAACCCCACGGAAAAGGGGGCGGCAGGTCCTGCTGGGCTTTCGAGTTGCAACCACCCACATTTTGGGGAAAGAGTGAATGGGGGCTTTGCGAGGGGAGCAAACCGAATGGCCACCCGCAGAAGCTGGCTCGACGCTGCCGTATATAAAGCAGTTTGAATCTGCATTAAATGGGCAGTGTAGACTTGGATACAATGCCGTTCAATTCAGCATATGGCAGCATAGTTCCTCCCAGAGTGCAGACAATCTGTGGACACTTTGAATAAAATCCCAATTATTTATATATATATATAGAGAGAGAGTCTTGTGAAACACCTTCGGAGCTTCTAAGGTTCGTTGCAATTCGGGCGCGCGTGGAGGGACTTGGGGCAGCTTGGAACCGCGTGAAATGCTCAGTGTAGACCCCGATCGTGCAGTTTCGGTTTGTACGGCAGCGAAGACTCATACAATCCAGTTCAAGCTGCCTTTTAGGGGTCCACACTGTTCAGATAAAGCAGTTCGGAATTGCAAGGGAGATCCAGGGCCCTTCCACATCGCCTTAGATCCCAGAATATCGAGGCAGAAAACAACACAACGTCTGCTTTGAACTGGGATAGCTGAGTTCACACTGCCATATATTCCAGTACAAAGCAGAAAATGTGGGGTTTGATTCAGCTGTGGGGAAGGATGGATTTGAAACGACCCCGCGCTCATTCCACGCGACTTTTCGCCTCTTTTGTCCCGAGAGTTTCTTTCCTTGGCGGCGGCGCGTGGGTCACGAGGGGGGAAAAATAATAATATTCCCTGAGGCGGACAAAAGGTGGAAGTCCAGTTTCGGGAGGGGAAAAAACAAGGACAGAAAGAAGTCCCCGTGGCGCTGGCCTGCAGAGTATTATTATTGTTGTTGTTGTTGTTGTTATTATTATTATTATTATTATTATTATTATTAGAAACACAACAAGATGAGTCCACAGCAGACACTCTGCTGGCTGTTGTATTGGATCACACGTCGGACACTTCCCAAGTGTCTAGGATTGTTGTTGTTGTTGTTGTTATTATTATTATTATTATTATTATTATTATTATTATTATTATTATTATATTCTATAGATTCCTCCCGGGAAACTGCGGCTGGATCTACATGGCCATCTCATCCCGCTTGAACTGAGAGTGTAGACTCCTATCATCAACATCCAGTTCAATCTGAAACTCCATGATTTGGCATTGTAGATCCAGGCGGCAAAGGAGAGAGGTTCAATGTATTGTCGAAAGCTTTCATGGCTGGAATCACTGGGTTGTTGTAGGTTTTTCGGGCTATAGGGCCATGTTCTAAAAGCATTCTCTCCTGACGTTTCACCTGCATAGATGCAGGCGAAACGTCAGGAGAGAATGCATCTAGAACATGGTCCTATAGTCCGAAAAACCTACCACAACCCAAAGGAGAGGTTGCGCCTCAAAAGGGCTCTTCTTCGGGCCAAACTTTTCTGCCCCTCTCTCTTTCTCTCTCTCTTTCCGAAGCCAAAGCGAAAGCCAAGCCCGGCCGGAAAGAGGTGGCGAGGAGGAAGAGGAAGGGGAAATCCTTCCTCTCCCCGCAGATCCCGAGGCAGAAAAGCCATCTGTTTGGGGCACAATGCAGTCCGGAGGCGGCGGAACCAAGCCGGTCGCGGCGCTGAAGGGCTTTCGCCTCCCAGGCAGGAAATGCGCCGGGAAATGTGCCTGGCCATCCATCCCAAAACCACGTTTCGATGAGCTTTGATTGCTCTTTGTTTTTAAGAGAGGGGGAGATGAAAAAAAGATCTTTGGGGGGACAATTGGACTCGGGATGGAGGGAGACCCCTCTCCTACCCTCCCTCCTCTAAGCGCCTGCACAGATTTCCTCAAAGGAGGGGGAAATTCGTTTACTTTTGAATATTAGTATTTCCTGTTTGACCTATCTATCTGTCTGTCTATCTATCTATAGATTTGTCTATCTACTGATCTAGATAGATAGTATTTCCTTTCCCTAACCTTTGGAGAGTTGCTTTCTCCCGCTTTCGTTATGACCACTTTCGTCTCTTTTCTTTTCCCGCTTCGAAACCGTATCAAATCCTCCGGGTTGGCTTTCTCTTGAATTGCGGAGAGAGCCAAACGGGACAGACAGACAGACAGACACCTGTTTCCAGCCGCAGAAAAGTGAGAGAGAGAAAGGCGGGTTTGGAAAGGAAAAGTGGGTTGGTTTCCTTTTTTTCCCTGAGATGGGACCCAGATCAATACTCCTTGTGTTTCCCCAGAACAGAGTTGGGAGAGTTTCCTTTCGATTTCTCAAACTGTCGGGAATGATTTAGTTCCTCATCAAGCCGTGGATGGGGGGATATTTCGGAAAGGAAGATGGGGAGAGGGCCACCAATATTTGTCGAAGGAGCTTGTGTGGGTTTCGGCTTTCCCGAGGGGTTTGTCTCCAAAGTTGGGAAGAGGCGAGCAGTGGGATTTTATGTAAGGTCGAGGGACAGGAATGTGCGCACTTCACAACCCTAACTAAGATGCCTTTCTTTCCCCCCCGTCGTCAAAATTTGTGTTTAACTCTGAGGTTAAAAAAGGAGAGTTGCAAATGGAAACGAGGCGAGGCGAAGCGGCTGCTTTGTTCTTGGACCGTGGGACCCGATTCCCCCCTTCCTTTCCTCCTTCCTTCCTTCCTTCCTTCCTTCCTTCCTTCCTTCCTTCCTTCCTTCTTCCTTCCTTCCTTCCTTCCTTCATGTCAATGGACGTCCACACTTTCCACACAAGGAAGTGGGCTTCCTTGGTCCTGAGACCTTTGCCTTCCTCTTCCTCCTCCTCCAACTCTTGCCCCAGATATTTATCAACAAGCAACCCAAACCCATAGAACTTGGTCCTGAAACCTTTCCCTTCCTCTTCCTTTTCCTCCTCCTCCACTCCCGCTTGTTTCCCTCTTTGGGTCCCAACTCTTACCCCAAATATTTATCAACAAGCAATCCAAACCCACGGAGCTTGGTCCTGAGACCTTTCCCCTCCCCTCCTCTTCCTCCTCCTCCCCCTCCTCTTTCTCTTCCTCCTCAACCTCCTCCTCCTCTTCCTCTCCCGCTTGTTTCCCTCTTTGGGTTCCACCTCTTGCCCCAGATATTTATCAACAAGCCACCCAAACCCATGGAGCTTGTGCCTGAGACCTTCTCCTTCCTCCATTCGATCCTCCCATTTGTTTGGACGCCTCGCCACCAAAATCCCGTTCAGTCTAGAACTCCTAATCCACTTGAACCGCTTTTAATCCCATTCTAAACAACAGGGATGCTTTTGTATTTTTATCATATCAGCAACTGGGTTGCTGTGAATTTTCTGAGTTGTATGTCCATGTTCCAGAAGCATTCTCTCCTGACGTTTCGCCTGCATCTATGGCAGGCATCCTCAGAGGTTGTGAGGTCTGTTGGAAACTAAGAAAATAGGGATGTCCCGGGTGGGACTAAAAAACTTGTCTATTTGGTGTGAATGTTGCAATTGGCCACAATGATTCTGTCCATGAAAGCCTTCCACAATACATATCAGCGAAGTCTCACCACCAGGAAGAGCTCCTGAAATTTCGGTGGCACGAAAAAGCAACAAGCAGCTCTAACCTGTCTGTGGCCATAGCTCATCTCAGCCACTTTCCCCAGAAATCGCACCCTTTTATCGAAGCAAACTTCACCTGCCTCGTTCGTTTTAAATGTTTTCCTTCCATTTCCTGGTGAATCGGCAAAGGAATCATTGGTGTGCCTTGATTTTAATTCGTTGTGTTGTCCAGTGCTGGGACATCACAGAAATGCAACCTGTTATAGTTGCCTGGAATGCAGACTTTGTTTGTTACAGTTAATGTATAATTATTGTTGTTTTTACAAGGAAACACTCTATTATATTGTCGAAGGCTTTCATGGCCAGAATCATTGTGTGATTTCCGGGCTGTATGGCCATGTTCCAGAAGCATTCTCTCCTGACGTTTCACCCACATCTATGGCAGGCATCCTCAGAGGTTGTGACTCTGTATAATTCCAAACACTCTATTGTTTGGAATTATATCCTTTCAGATAAATATTATACTAAGTAACAAGTGACTTTTTGCATCTTCATTTTGGGAAGATCTCAGTTGTACACGCTTCCAAGATGTGACCAAATTGATGGGTGGTACATTCTGTTTATATTATTTTATTATTTTTAGCAATTTGTTAGATAGTTTTCAAAAGCATCATAATAGAATAAAGCAAAATTTAACACGAGTTGGGCATGCTGTTTCATTCCAGAATGTGATTTGTTCTGGGTTCAGGCTGAAGCTTGAGATCTGAATTCTCTTCATTTTTAATAATAATTTTATAATAATTAGGAAGTAATAAATTATTATTATTATTACTATTCTCTTCATTCTTCCACTTCCATTTACATTTAATTGGGGCAAATGACAAATGACTTTACAAATATTTTTGTATCTAGAACATGGCAATTTTGAAAATATAAATGACCAGAAAGTATACCCACGCAACACGCACCTCTCGCTCTGTTCATTTAATCCAAATGCCCAGCGGACAGTTTATGAACCTTCATAGATTTCTCTCCACCCCCTTGGCCTCCTCCACTCCTTGTTTAGTTAATTTCGCAAAGACTTTTCGCAATCTCTTTGGAGTTTGTCTGATGCTATGGAAAAGTATCTGCTGATTTATTTGGTTGCTTTTCGATTTCTGTCGCTGGGCCGTCTTTTCTCTTCCTTTCAGCTAGGATGTCAGCTGTTATTACTTCCTATTGATCCCTTTGCAAAGTGAGAAGTGAACTAAAATTAATGTCAATTCCACTGCTCGGATCAATAGCTGGAGTTATTTTAATCTGGATTTGCACAGGGTGCTAAATTAAAAAAAATCAGCATAGAGGCAGAAAAGGCAGAGTCCCTGGCTCTGCTGTGCCCTCTCCCTTTCCAGCCCCACAAATGCTTCATCAGGCTGGTTAACCTGCAATCCATATTTTTTTAATTAAGCAGGTCAGTTAGTTTTCTTATTTTGGGTTCCATATTTAAAAACCAATGACATTTTGACATTGGGAGTGTATTAACTATAGATTTCCATAATGACTGGCCTTGCCGCAGCCTCATCTGTACATGCCCCTAATGACGGTGGTGATGGGAAATAAAAATGTGGGGCAAAGCCAAAGGTAGGGCGGAAGGAGGGAAAAGACAAGGAGAAAGTCAAAAAAAGAAGTAAAAAAATTAAACTTGGCTTGGCACAATATTGCAATCTGTTGATTTATTCTCTGCGTAATGAAGTTTGCAAACGAATAAGGCCGTTGGAGTGATTCACAGTATCCTACAAGGAGTGTCAAGTGTGGCTTCCAGATTACTAATTTATGAAATACATTTAACGTTATGAGGTGACAGTGCAAGTAAAAATAGAAAAGCAGGCACAGAGGCATTAGCAGTACGCTTTCACCCTTTCTTTCCCCCCTCCTTTTACTTAAATCCTAGACATTATGGTTTTCTTTCCATCAGCCTCTCAGGTCAATTTATTTTTAATCGCGTATTTATCTGAGTGGGTATCTCCTTGCCTTAAAAATACTAGAAAATAAATATTCAGATTCCCCCACCTTACTAGGCATTGATCTTTTTCAATTTTTATAAGTGTTTTCTTGTTTTCTTTTCTGTATATAAAGCAACAAGAGACCCAGACGAAGGCCAACTAAGCTGTCTTTTGCGTCCATCTGTCCACAACCAGAACTTGAAGTTTTGTTTTACAATTCGGGAGGGACCAAACCTTGTTAATACAGGATCTCTTGTAATGTAGCACTGATCTATATTGGGTAGAAACTAAGCCCAAATGAAGAAGAGGCGAGATGACACCCAGTCATGATCACACTTAATAAGAGTTGCAGAATGTGTGGGTACAGGATGGGAAAAAGGAAGTGTTCCTGTGAACTGCATGAAAGGCGAAGCCAAGATGCCACAGAGTTTGTTAACCTAGACTCACTCATTCACAGAATACAAAAGCCCACTCCATTAGGGGGGAAAAAAGATTCTTTCACTAAGTTTTATTTGCTGTGTCTGACCTTCTGGAACTAGCAGACACATTTTTGCAACAGCTTTTTTATTATATGATTTTTTGTGGCCTTTTGAGTGCCGCAAGGCTAGTATATTGTTTTAAAGTAATAGTCCTTGTATATTAAAGTATATTGTAACATTATGAATGGGTGGCAGTAGAAGCTTACACACACACACACATGATTCTCCCTTGGTTATAAATAAGATTGTAGTATCTGATAACTAGAAAGTGCTAAAAGGAAAGTTCATTTTACTATTTGTACATTCATATTTATTTATTTATTTACTATATTTATATCTTGCCTTTCTCAATCCCGAGAGGGACTCAAGGCGGCTTACAGCATAGGCAATAATTCATACCACTTCACATACATGGGAAAGGATGTTTGTCTTGTCTTGTCTTCTTAGTTTATCTTTTAACAATTCAAAGTACAATGATATCAAGTAAAAAGCCCACTTAGACATGTGTTTAAGGTTTGTTTTATAAATGTTCATGACAGCAGTTTATAGATCTACTCAAGCATGAGCACATTAGGAAGTAAAATTTGGGTCATTATGTACAGCCTTCAAATCCAACAGGCAGATGTTTACAAGCGATCAGATCACACTGGCACCCGTTATGATTTTAAATATTGCTAGAGATGCCAAACACTTTTATTGCTGAAGTCACTGCTGATTTCCTCAAAAAATGGGAGAAACACATAATGGGAAATTACAGGACATTTTGTTGGTTCCCACATGTAACATTGAAGATAATGTAAAATCCATAATTTGTGTGTGTGCATTAGCACAGGTAAAATTGCACGCTTGCCTGTCTTAACAAAGAATAGACTTCCTGGCCACATTATTTATGCATTAATAGATTGTATAAATATATGTACATGTGTTCATTTGTAAATTGTGAATAATTAATGCATTATTTATTTCATTTTTCATGTGCAGGCCCCTAGCTTTTAGGGCAGGCGTGGGCAAACTTGGGCCCTCCAGGTGTTTTGGACTTCAGCTCCCACAATTCCTAACAGCCGATAGGCTGTTAGGAATTGTGGGGGTTGAAGTCCAAAACACCTGGAGGGCCCAAGTTTGCCCGTGCCTGTTTTAGGGGATAGTTACAAAGAAATCATATGCTTTCATGTTACATTATTTTTTTTCTTTTCTGATTTTTAACTTGGCAGGAGTCAGGTAATATGTTTTTATTTGCTCTTAGTTGGACTCAGTGGCACTTGGTCAGGACATTCATTCTGCACAGACCACATCTGGCTTGATCTGAACTTCCTCTGTCCCCTTGCCCTGCAGTATGGCAAAAGGAGAGGACTTGCTAAATTGAAGATTGATGCACTGCCTGTAAGACCCATAGAATACCATCACTTTGGGTCTGTGGTGTTTTATCTACCTCCAGAATTTGTCACCTGAACCTCAGGTTAGGTTCTGGAGCTGTGAATTGGGAGGAGGAAAGAGACTTGTGTGCACACACCCTTAGAGGGAGTTAGAGGCCCTTCCAGTTCTTTGTGAACTTGCCTAATAGGTTTCTAAAGGAGAGCACATGGAGGAGGTTTTGTTCTGGCTCACGCGATTTTCCTGCTGCATGAAGAACAGCCAATTGCCAAAAACTGACTGACAATTAACTCCCCCCTGTCTCCTCTCCTTCTTTTTTTCTCCCTCTACAGCTTTGGGATAGTGATGAGGTCCCAGTGAATCACACTCTCTCCAACTCTATACTTAGACATCACTTTGTTTTCCATCCAGGGAAGAACATTTTCCTTGCGGCCCTGTCAAAGAAAGACGATCCGATGGACTTACACCGGGCAGCCTTCAAGATGGAAAACTCCTCCTACCTTCCCAATCCTCTGGCATCTCCAGCCCTGATGGTTCTCGCTTCTACCGCTGAAGCTAGCCGCGATGCTTCCATCCCTTGCCAGCAGCCAAGGCCCTTTGGCGTCCCTGTGTCGGTGGACAAGGATGTGCACATCCCATTCACCAATGGCTCCTACACGTTTGCCTCGATGTATCACCGACAAGGTGGGGTGCCAGGAGCCTTCACTAACCGTGATTTCCCACCTTCCTTGCTGCATCTCCACCCCCAGTTTGCTCCCCCCAACCTGGACTGCACCCCAATAAGCATGCTGAACCACAGCGGGGTTGGGGCCTTCCGCCCCTTTGCCTCCACTGAGGACAGGGAGAGCTACCAGTCAGCTTTTACACCTGCCAAGCGCCTGAAGAACTGCCATGAGACTGACTCTCCCCACCTTCGCTTCTCAGACGCTGATGGCAAGGAGTATGAGTTTGGAGCCCAGCTTCCGTCTGGCTCTCCAAGCTCTCTCAAAGTTGATGAGACAGGGAAAAAGATCTTTGCTGTCTCTGGCCTCATTTCCGACCGGGAGACCTCATCCAGCCCTGAGGACCGAAATGAGAGATGTAAGTACCTCAACTTTGCTTCAGCTGGGCCTTTGAAATGCTCTACAGGTGTGTTCTGTAATGACAGGAGGTGCCAAAGGGGCATATGTGTGGTCCTGTTTCTGTTTAAATAGATGGTTATGGATTAGAGAGGGAGGTGGGTTGAGAGGAGTCATGGAAAACTGAGGCCCTGAGCCACAGAAAAAATGCCAGCAAATCAGAAAAGGGGAGGAGATTCTATGTTGTGAGTATCTTGGGAGCACACTCTCTTGTAGGTACTCACAAACATGGACTTTGAAAAATATGCCCTTTCTGTTAAGATGGTTACCTAATTAAAAAAAAACACATTTTCTTCCACTTTCCAACCCTTTCTTCACATACTTGATGGCTGTTGTAACAAGGTACTGCGCTCCTCATATCAGTGTAAAAAGTGTATTTATTGGCTGCGTAAGACAAGCTGACAGAAGCAAGAGAGATGGTGACATTCAACACAGTTTGAACAACTTGCCCTAATAATCTTTAAATAGATAAGAGGTATATTCTGAAGTTCCTTTCGCAAATCGGAAAGAGAAATTATTTTGCACAGACCAGCAGCCAAGCTGAAGCCAACCTGCACAAGATTCACTAGAGGAGCAATGCCTGTTGCTGTATTTCTCTCCCACAGCAGATCACTTGTTCATTAAGTGCCACGAGCTGCCCTGCTGTGGGAAAAGAAGTAGTATTCCATCTAAGAAATGGAAGATAAGGCAATATTTGCCTTGTGCTGATCTTTAAATTCAGATACACAGCTTAGATGCTGAGCAGAGTACCTGGCATCAAGGGGGTCCCTTTGTTCTTTCTTAGGTCGCTCTGTCCCCTCCCCTTTTCCTCTTTTGCTTTTTGGGTGGGTGCATGTAGGGGAAGAAGCTGTGCTTTAAAAGAAAAAGAAATAATGTAGTGTAGCCTCCCAGTTCTCCCTTAGATACCATTTTTCTTATCCTCCTTTATGATGCCGAGGAGAGTAATAGAGACGTTGTTGCGCTCTCTCCCCTGTCGGTGCTGCTTCCTCGGGCTGTCTCCTTGAATTAGGCACTGTGTTAACTTCCCAGTGCTGTGAGGCATCTGCCGAAGGCCCACGTACCTTGTCAATAAAAGTCACCATAAAATCAACCTGCCTTGTAAATCCATCGTTCTTTGGTTTTGAAATATGCCATGAGTGTGTCTTTTATGTCAACGTTTGTAAGTGTGGAATGATCCCCTCTTAAAGACAGAAGCTATATGTTGCACCACAGATGTGCGCACACTCTTCCCCCTAGTGCGGCTCAAAGTGTGTTTGAACTGCTTGCATGTTTGTTTGTTTTATTGTCTTTGATATCTGACTGCAACAACTGTGTGTGCGAGAGAAATAGAAAACATTAATAACAATTGAAAGAAGAGGAGAGAACTTTGTCACTAGTAAGAATAACTTACAATTTGGAATGGTAAAAATTGTCAATTGCAAGTATCACCTGTCCATGGATATGAAGCTCACTCATGCCACACACAGCATGGAAAATCTGGGCCATCAATGAGATGTATTTAATGTTGCTTTTTGCAAACCTGCCCTGTTTAGAAAGTTATATAAAGGGGGAAAACCCTTATGCCAATAATTGGATGTTATGTAAAAAGGGGTTGGGATGGTATGTTTCTCAGCACATATTTTATTCCTTTCTGTACCTTCTTTTCACTGACTTTGCTATTAGAGGTTTCCGTGAATTCTCGAATAGCAAATAGGCAAATCACATTAAAGTATGCCATCTAAAGAATAAGAACGGCTTGTGTAAGATATTACAGAAAGAGAAAGTTAGAATAAAATGTTGTCGATTGGTCTAAAAGGTGTCAGTGTGCACAAAGTTTTCTTTCTGGATTTTCCCTCTTTCCATTGCCATGAATAATAAATAGAAATTGATTTGAATTTATAATACTTTCATGAGAGTAAAACCAAAACTGACTTTGTGCCCAATAGAGCTAGGCAGTCAACCCCCAAACCTACATCTCTCCTGTTTTCTTTAGTTAAAACTTTATTATTAAAGGGTTTGATTTTTATTTTCAAATGCGATTATATGTGTATGTGAGAGAGTGAAACGAGGGAGCGAGAGCATAGTTACCTGTAGTTATGACCTCCAAATATCCTTCTCATGTGTAGATGATTTCATTGAACATATATTCCTGGCCATGGTATTACCCCAGACAAGATGATCTTCTCCTTTGTACGCCTGGACATGCACCATGTGAGAAAGATTCTTTGTTGGCAGTTTCTAGAATTTGTCTGAAGACTGATAGAGCTTTCTAGTGTTCTGTGGTTCTGGAGAAAAGCAGAGGAATGCATGCATATTTACATGTATGTAAATGTGACCTTAAGGGCCTTTATAGATACCAAGTCATTGACCCCTAAAAAGCTGTCTCAGTTTTCTTGCACAAACAGTATATACAAACCTCCCCGTGAAACAAGGATTCTTTTCACCACCACCCTAACCTACATTGCCGAGAAATGGTTATATAGACAGACTAGTCGGCAAAATGTATTGATGGAGGTAGTAAAAGCCATCAGATCAGCAAACCCTTTATGCTTCCAATAGATAGCCTACAGAATTACTGGACTCTACTGTTTATTTGTATTCTCCCAAATACTGCAACGGAATCAGACCACATGACGGATGAATAACTTTAATTGCAACACATAACGTTCCATTTGCCGCCACCAACTATAGTCTTTACTTCTTCTCCTTCTCCTCCTTCTCTTTCCCCTTCTTCTTGCTTTGCCTTGCAGTTTCCATATTGGGGTTCTCACTAACTGACTCCTTTCATTTTTGCCTTTTAAAAATAAAGAATGCTAAAGCTCCTGGAAAACAGTTGTAAGATGTGAATTTTTAAAAATGCTGTCCAAGGTATACTGCAAATCAAATGGGCTGCGAGAGAAATGTCTCTATACACAATTGGATGGGGGTATCTCGATGTTACTAATTAGATACTAACTAAGAATGATACTTTGTGTGTTTAAATTCCCATGAGGCTAGAGTCTTATCTCTGTTAATTAGTGATATAAATCTGAATTGATTCCCATATCCACTTGAAAAGGCAGTTAGGATTGGCATTGTTGTAACAGAATTTTTGGTTCTGTCTATGTTTGTTCTCTCAGGAAATTTTGTAATATATTGGGTTGAAACACAGATTTTACAATTTACAAATGTGCAATTCTACCCCAAGTTAGTGACAGAAATTAATGAGAGGTGTCACATGCAATGATTACTGTATTTTGCAGTCTGCTTCCTGGAGACAGTTTATCAGTACTTCTTTCTTTTTGAGTCCTATAGTTCCAGGAAAGTCAAAGTCCAACCTGCAGGAGGTGTGCACAAATGATATATAGGGATTGCTTGTTGCAACAAACATTTTACCCATTTAGTACTTTTTAGATTTTTATTGGAAACGCTAATTTTTGGAACACTGATTATATCACACAAGAACTCCTCGGGCATCTATGGATGCATTCTGTGTAGTTCTTCAGATATCCTCATCGGCATGGAAGTTTGCAGCTGGAGTGCTTATAAATTCTCAGTCCTTATGTGACAGATATCTGTAACTTTTCAAAATTCTTTCTTTTCTATAATAAATTGTTTGGACTGCTGATCTTCACAGACTAGTTCCCATGATGTTTTTTCATAGCAGAAGGAGTAGGCAGAATTTTCCATATCTTGACCATGTAGAACGTTGTTTCTCAACCTTCCTAATGCCGAGACTCCTTAATACAGTTCCTCATGTTGTGGTGACCCCCAACCATAAAATTATTTTCGTTGCTATTTCATAACTGTAATTTTGCTACTGTTATGAATCTTAATGTAAATATCTGATATGCAGGATGTATTTTCATTCATTGGACCAAATTTGGAATAAATACCCAATATGCCCAAATTTGAATACTGGTGGGATTGGGGGCAGGGTTGATTTTGTCATTTGGGAGTTGTAGCTACTGGGATTTATAGTTCACCTACAATCAAAGAGCATTCTGAACTCCACCAATGATGGAATCGAACCAAACTTCCCACACAAAACCCCTATGACCAATAGAAAATATTTTGTTTTCTGATTATTTTTGGCGACCCCGCATGACCTCCCCCAGGGGTCTCGACCCCCAGGTTGAAAAATGTAAATGTAGAATAATTATTTTCTGATGCACAAATCCACAGAGTTGTTTTCTGTTTTCTTTATTTCAGAGGAGTCCATAATGTGTTTGTTTTGCACATATCCGGAGTTAAACCCACAATACCTAGCCTTTATGCTGAATCTACAAGAGATGCTTATTTCTAATTCTTTGTATCCATTTTGTTGTTTGTTGCAGCTGTCTCAAAGTTAATCTTTTTGCTGAAAAACAAGGCCTTGGTGGTCAAAGCTGAATATCTCTCTGATCCTTGTTTTTCACATCTGCAATGTGGATCACAGTAGTATTCCCATCATTAATTCTAAGAATCATTTGAATCAATTTCTAGAGGTTGTTCTGAAACCTCTGTTTCTTCTCTAGCAATTTGACAACAGAAGGGTTGTTTTTAGACGTCACTGCTGTAAAACATGTAAACATTTTAAAAAATGCTCAGTTTAGGTGAACACTTCAGTTTTCCCTCATAATTTTACATCACAGTAGGAAACAAACGTCTTGTTTGGCCTTAGAACTTGTATTGCTTTTGAAAATCACTTGAGCAACATGTAGCTTTGAAACTAATGAATGGAAACATCTGAGAACAAGTCAAAACACTGTTCTATATAAGTGCCAAGCAGGAATTATTAATAATGCATTAATTTCCCTTTTTTCTTTTTCTTTTAGTGTATTATAGCAAGTGGCTCAAGCTTTTTCTTAGCTCCAGCTACCTCTGCAGAGCACATGTTGTCCAGGTGTTTACACACTGGGGCCTATATGATGATGGTGGCATTCTGTAATGATTCCACATGCAAAATGTGAACACAAGGGTTATTTATTTTTATTTACCACCAAATGCTGAAAACAAAAATAA